TCCGTTTCGGCCTTCTAGGCCTCATCAGTGCAGCTAGGGTATAGACCCAAACGAAACGTTCGACCAGCTTAGGTAGGGCCCAAACTAGTCCCACGACCACTAATGATTACAGAGCCAAACCAAGGCAATATATATATATATATATATACAGCCCAGGTGTGAATGCAAATAGTGGAATACAAGCTATGTGGCTCGGTTCCAGTAGATACAGAGAATATTTTGTCATTCTTAACGCGTCCTACGAAATTCTAAACGAGACAGCACTAGTCCGTGAATTTGTGAACAAGATCGGAGATCTAAAGATGCAATCTCTACCGTGCATCAATGGCGGCCCGCTGGATCTCTAATAGAGATTCTTTAATAATATATACATTTTAAAAGGCAAATGAGAAAACCCATAAAACAGCAAAAGGCCACATAATGCAAAACTATTTAAAATTAAAACGGAACAGTAGAGAAAATCCGATCAGAATGAAAAATAAACTAAGAATCCACTGGAAGGAATCCCAATATCTGCAGACGGATCCGTGTCGGCCTTCCAGGCCTCATCAGTGCAGTTAGGGTATAGACCCAAACGAAACGTTCGACCAGCTTAGGTAGGGCCCAAACTAGTCCCACGACCACTAATGATTACAGAGCCAAACCAAGGCAATATATATATATATACACATCCCAAGTGTGAATGCAAATAGTGGAATACAAGCTATGTGGCTCGGTTCCAGTAATTACAGAGAATATTTTGTCATTCTTAACGCGTCCTACGAAATTCTTACGAGACAGCACTAGTCCGTGAATTTGTGAGCAAGATCGGAGATCTAAAGATGCAATCTCTACCGTGCATCAATTGCGGCCCGCTGGATCTCTAATATAGATTCTTTAATAATATATAAATTTTAAAAGGCAAATGGGAAAACCCATAAAACAGCAAACGGCCACATAGTGCAAAACTATTTGAAATTAAAACGGAACAGTAGAGAAAATCCGATCAGAATGAAAAAAAAATAACTAAGCATCCACTGGAAGGAATCCCAATATGTGGAGACGGTTCCGTTTCGGCCTTCCAGGCCTCATCAATGCAGCTAGGGTATAGACCCAAACGAAACGTTCGATCAGCTTAGGTAGGGCCCAAACTAGTCCCACGACCACTAATGATTACAGAGCCAAACCAAGGCAATATATATACACAGCCCAGGTGTGAATGAAAATAGTGGAATACAAGCTATGTGGCTCGGTTCCAGTAGATACAGAGAATATTATGTCATTCTTAACGCGTCCTACGAAATTCTTACGAGACAGCACTAGTCCGTGAATTTGTGAACAAGATCGGCGATCTAAAGATGCAATCTCTACCGTGCATCAGTGGCGGCCCGTTGGATCTCAATAGAGATTCTTTAATAATATATAAATTTTAAAAGGCAAATGGGAAAACCCATAAAACAGCAAACGGCCACACAATGCAAAACTATTTAAAATTAAAACGGAACAGTAGAGAAAATCCGATCAGAATGAAAAAATAAACTAAGCATCCACTGGAAGGAACCCCAATATCTGCAGACGGATCCGTGTCGGCCTTCCAGGCCTCATCAATGCAGCTAGGGTATAGACCCAAACGAAACGTTCAACCAGCTTCAGCCTTTGATGACCGTTTGGAATTTCCCATATTGGATGTGGGGGGGGGGTCCGTCTCTTTTAAAATGTTATCGTAAATGTGTGGCAGTTTGTGTGCGCTTTGATCTCTGTTCACGTTATTGGCGTGTAGTTTTATGTTGAATGTTGATGTCTTCTTTGATTATTCTGGTGTTCCATTCTGATTCCTTGACTAAAATGCTGACGGTATTCCAGTTTGGGACGTGCTTAAGTGTAGCCATATAGTCAGTCATGGCTGAGTTGTGAATGGTGCTTGAGGCTGATAGTCTAAGTGATCTAGTTAACACTCCTAAAAAAAATTAGAATCAACGAACACAAAAAAGAAGTGACATATTAATGTAATGTAGTGGTTAAGGTTTTTCTTTCTGTCTTGAGGACCCCAATGGAAATAAGTTTACTTGTAAACTTTCTTGGGTACATTCCTCAGTTTATTCAGTTGATATTGTTCTTTGTACTTTTTATCTGTTTCAGTGTTTGTGTAATATTTAGATTTTATCTCTCTGAATGAACTGAATAAATTTAAATGAAATGAAATGAAATTTACTATACCCATGGGCTATACCCTAAATTATAATATTTTATCTTTAACATCAATTAGTATTGCTAGAATTTTATATAAAAACACAACGATGATGACACTTAAATACATGTTTATTGTCTTATCGATTATTTACAATATATATATATATATACATATATATATATAATATATATAAATGTATATATATATATATTAATATAAGCATTATTTATACAACTTTAGTATCATCATTATTTATAAAACATAAAGAAATCCTACCCAGAATTGTATAAATTAATTGAAATGTTCTGTCTTGACCACATAGAGTCTTCTCAATAGCGTCGGCGACAGCTACGTATTTAGCGATTGTTGTAACGCTAGTGTAGTGATTATAGAAATTATATTAAGATAATGATTGAGAGTAGGTAAAACCTAGCAGTTAAAACAAAATCAGATGTGGCCCGGATGTAACGGTCCTTGTAGTATCAGTCGATAATTTTCATTTTAGTGCAAATAATATGTTAATTTTTTATATAAAATTTTAATTCGCTTCAGTGCTTCTGTGTTAATAGTGGTTATGACATTCACATAATATTTAAAATATGTGTTTTATATTGTTCATATCTATATTTTTTTATTTGTTTGTACATATCATTTAATTATCTTCAAGGTGGAAAAATCAATCGTTGACTCCCAGTAAGTTTAAAGATGTTATGGAAAATAATGATTTATGGCTCTTTCAAAACCATACCCACCAAGAATTGGCGTTAACACATTTACCAAAACTAATAAATTCATCTAATGAACAGAACGGGAAGCACAAACAACCGGAATATATCCCGGGAATCTCAAAAGAAGGACAAACTTTGAAAGACATTGCAGCTACATTACGGATACCATGGAAACTAAACACATCGAATGTGTATAAACTAAGGTAAAAACTGAGATAAATATTATGCCAAATCATCATTAAAACGTCACACTGTCATCAGCTTTTGAGAATATTAGGCCATTTTTTTTATCTAAAAGCAAAGTGGTAATTTTTTTTCACTTTTCTCCAGTTTTTTAATCAATGAAACATTTGTTGAAGAAGTTTGTTATTTCTACAGACTCAGCATTAGCATTAAAACATCATCAATTATGGTTGTTTCAATGTTTTGATCATTAAGGTGGAAAATCATCTGTAGCAAAGGTAAAGGGGTGTTGTTTCGTTATATTTCGTTTAGTTTTAGCAATTAATTATCACTAGGTAAGAGCGTATATCTTTGAATTACCTGTGGTAAAATCACCTAAAAAACAAATGTATAATTGTATACTGGATTTAAACATGTTTATTTTATTAGAAACGAGATTGCAATGTCAGCTCACAATGAAATGATTCTTAGCCAAAATGACGTCAGACTGTCTGAAAATATAGGCTATATAAACCAGACTAAAATAGTAAGAATAAATGAAAAGTTTTACAACATGCTACCAAAGGTATGATCATTACTTTTATTATGTACTATGTACTTATTGTTTTACAAAGAGCCTGCTGACTGTATGTCGCTTTGGCCGGCTTTTTATGCAAAATATTTTATTGCTCAAGCACAGAATAGTAAATTGGAAATCAGGGATGGTTGGTCGCCATTTTGTTGGTTTCGTCTTAATTATAGGGTTCACGGCCTATCATGCTCTCTCGTTCTATTCTGTTTCATAATAGATAACCACTTGGCTAAAATTTAAGATACTAAATCCCATTTCCTATTGAGACCTGTAAAGTGTCAATTTAAACATAATACACGTGTTAGGGGCCTCATTGGTAAAAAATATGTATTAGGGTAAAAAGATGTTCACTGAAATCGGGTTTCTGCAACACAACTCAACATGTTATGACCTTATATATAATATTATGTTTATTGATCTATTTATCGATCCGTCTGTCCGCCTGTTTGTCCTTCTTAAATATATTTAAATAAAACTGAACAGCAGCGACACAAATACAGGAATATAATATAAAACATTTTAAGTTGTTTATAATGTTAACAGTGATCGTGGGTATTTTTTTTTTTCAGGTATCCCCTATCAAACGTAATTATAATCGATGTTCTATTGTGGGAAATAGTGGAATATTAATTGGAAGAAAATGTGGTAATGAAATAGACAGGGCTGATTTTGTTATTAGGTTGGTTACATTTCACACCGCAAAACATTTCTATTTTGGGGGTAAAATGTACACAGTTATTATCAAATACCTTGTAATTTTTTATTAACTGCCTAAATAAGTATCATACGTTTGTAATAAGCTACGCTAATTTAAGACTGTTTATATATTTTATTTTATTATTAATTCTGAGAAAATGATACTATATTGTTCTATTATATAATGGAAACGTATTAATTAATAATATTTAATATGAATTTTTACACCCGGCAGATATTGATTTACTTCGTTTATTTTTATTTTATTATTAATTCTGAGAAAATGATACTATATTGTTCTATTATATAATGGAAACGTATTAATTAATAATATTTAATATGAATTTTTACACCCGGCAGATATTGATTTACTTCGTTTATTTTTATTTTATATCACAATAATCTTGATTCTAAACAGCTTCATTGATTTGTATTGGGATTTTATTGGTATAAAAGACATCCAGGATAATTAACGAACATTTGCGTATATATTTTTGGTAGGGCCCCTTGTGGTCAATTGGGCAGTGCAGTAAATCATTTATTAGTCCTCTTTTAAATTTTTGCCACTGGATTACAAGCAATTGTCTTAATATGCAATAAAGATTCTAAGGTTTAACGAAACCGAGGAGACACTAATTAATAATAATAATTAACGTATTTGTTTTCTTTTAGATGCAATGCTCCTCCAATTACCCAATTTTCAGAAGATGTGGGTCATAAATCTGATATAGCCACAGTTAATCCAAGGGTTCTAACATCTCGGTAGGTATTATGCAAATTGAGTCTAACAGCCTTACGTAGAAATGTAGCCTGTTATCCGTAGAGAAGAGAATATATTACAATACGTCATTGTAATTAGGACCGGGGCCGGCGCAATACAATAAATCAATTCCATCATGAATAAAAACAACAAAAACAATTAAGATGGAGGAAATACAATAAAGGCAAGGCATGACAATGTGTTGTATTACCTTAACAAAAAGACAATCATATGCAATATGAGGTCTCACCACGAAATGAGACGCATTGTTACTGAAATCATTTTTAGATAATCACCAAAATAGGTCAAAGACAAAATTTTACACAATTTTGATTTTAATGTTTTTGAATAACTTGATATTTAGATTTAATGGTTGTGTACTTTTTAAGTGAATTTTCTTACTAAAACAGTGTTCTCTGCACGCACATATTCTGTAATTCTAGTCCTATTATTGGTACAGAGTTTATCTTGGAGGCCAATCTTCTCAAAATGTGGTTCTCTTGCACATAATATTTAAATGCTCACATCTCTGGATCTACATATCCTAGTGAAGCCATTTAAAGACCAAATTAAAGTTGATAATGTGATCTACCCAAATATAATATAAGTTCAATTTTTGATATTCTAACCATGAGACTCATTTAGTGGTGAGGCCTCACACATTAAAAAAAAAAAATCACATTAATTTACACAAATCACATTAAAGCAGATACACAGACCCACCCGCCCATATGAAATGCATGGTAGCCAAAATTAACAAGTAATCATTTATTATGTCACAGTATTGCCATAAAGGTAACTTGCATTAAGAGATTGGATGTGCTTAAAAATCTGTGTTTTAAAATGATTGACTCTATGAGAGTTTTTAACTCTTTCTGGCAAATTAATCCAAAATGTAGGTCTAGTGGAAAATACAGATAAAGGCTACGTTCAGACCTGTGAGATACGCCAGGCGTATCTAACGCTAGGCGTACGTTAATCCATGGCGTAACTAGCGAGATGTCCAGACAGGGCGATTAATGAACGCTAGCGTAAGTATTCGCGCGAAATATTCGTATTCGTAATTCGTGCATTTTATTTTCTGTTTACATCTAGGTTTATTTTGATTGGTCAAATCTTGGCTGAGTTCAAAATCACCGATGCGTGACTGTCGTAAATCAGTGGCGTACGCTAATCTGGGGTCTGTTGCTGGATTACCGTACGCCAATGATTGCGCGATAATACTGGCGTTCGCTACGCCGCGCACAAGTTCACACCACTCGATTAACGTTACGCTAGCGTAAGTCGTTGTGTCTGAACATAGCCTAAATCTTATAAATATCTAGTCGATAGTTATTTTTATTTCTAGTATTTTACCCATGAATACTTTTGTGATCAGTAAAGATATTATTAAAGGATGTGGGTAACATGCCATTGTTGTATTTAAACATAAATATGCACTATACCTAGTTCCTTTTTGTACAGATCAAAAACATTCAATAGACTTATTTTTTCCAAAAGGTTTCGTATGACATAAATATAGAATATTGGTAATTGAACTTAAGGCTTCCTGTTGCAATTTTAATATTTTATTCACATATCCTTTGTTTGATTTTACCCCATAGCATAATCCCATAGTCAATGTGTGACAAAATAAGAGAATAGTATTAGTAATAATAAAGATTTCGCTGGTAGGAAATGCTTCACTTTATTTAACACACCAATATTTTTAGAACACTTGTATGAATGTTATTGATATGCCGTTTCCAAGTAGGATTTTGATCTAAAACTACAAAAATAAATGATGTCTCTGAAACACGGGTTAATTTACGAACATCCAAATAAATACAACAAGTTGAGTTTATATTTTTAGTTTGGTGCGGTATTCCCAGAGAAACATAAGATTTGTTTTATCTGTATTGAGCGACAATTTGTTAAATTTAAACCAGCTACAGATTTCGGAAAGCTCATTAACTCTTTCTACAATAACGCACTTTATGAGCTTCTAGATAAGCATGCACATCTGCAGAAATGTGTATCAGTTATTCACACTGATTGTAATTGGATAACCCCAGAAATTATCAAAGAAAATTTAGGGCGTCGTGAAGCCGAGGCGTTATAACGTGCAAATAAAAGGTAAATCGGCAAACACTTTGTGAAATCCGATATAAAATCAAGAAGATGTGTTATCATGCTAAGTTTCAATATTGGTATACCCGTATTGAGGCCATTTGTCAAAGATCAGAAGGTACTCTATAACATTGTCACTTCATTGATCGGTAATCCTAACCGTAGTAGAATTATTTCACACAAAAATTGCCAACATCCAAGAGTCTCTAGACACCAGGGAACAGTGAAATTACATGGAATGATCTCGAACTACTAAGGCGTGCTAATCCTATTAGGTACCTATTATTCTTGTCTAATTGTCCCTGCTGTATCCTAGTTCTTTGTGCCTAAACGCGCGGTACCGACAGTCAAGCGAAAAGGATGAAATATCACCACCAACGTCAGGAAATTTCTCTTAGACTTCAAACCAGTCGTTTTTTAATTAATAAAAAAAACTCTTTTGTGTGTTTTTTTTTTACAAATATACAGCAATTTTATACATAACGACTGGTATAAAAGCACTTTACATATGTTTTAGAAGCGTTTTCTGTCAAACTCCATAGTGTGATTTAACTAAGCAAGCAATTATAAGTCATTTTTTGATAAGTATGTGTACTGGCATTGTGGCAAATTACTTACTTTTCTCCTATTTCATTTATTTATCCTTTATCAGCCTATTTATGGTGAAGATGTGAGCTGAGATTTAATGTTTAAAATCATATTTTCAGAATGTATAGAGGACAAGCGTCAGCTATCCCTTCAATTGTAAAACTGTTAAATGATGGTAATGTTTAATTCACGTGCATTGTAAGAAATTTATCCAGATTGTCTTTTTACATTAGTTTGTGTATGTAAACTGTATATTATAAATTTGATGTAAATTGTAAATTTTTAATGGCTCTTCACTATAAATTTGATGTATATTTTTCTATTGTTATATTTATATATTTATTTCTACATTTTGAATATATTTTTCTATTTTGTAATACAATAATATTTAGCTCTCAGCTATTGTTTTGTAATATATTTGATACCGTATTAAATAAATAAAATACCTAAATAAATAATTAAATACTTTCTTCAGAAGAAGTGGTTTGGATAAGGCGACATCAACAACGACAGGGTAGTGATCAGAATAAAATAACTGTTCATTCAACTGTTAAGAAATTGATTCGTCTGATGTTAAGATTATGTCTAGGGTATGTCGTTTACTGTGTGTTGGGCCATTGACAAGTTGCTTGAGACCAAATGAGGTAGTAAGACTAAGGAATTTTGCAGCATATTAGTTATTTTTATCATTAACATTGAAATTAAAATCGGCACAGATTATTCAATTTGAGCCGATTCTTAGTTGCTCCAAATAACTGGCGAAGTCTTCAAAGAACTGAGTAACAGTCAGTTTAATGTTTGAGTTGGAAGAAGTACGATACACAATATAAATCTCTGAGTAGCTCTGTCAATTGTTAACACAATATCGGCAACCTCGAACGAACAGCACAGTACAAAAGGTTTCCAAGATAGATGTAAAAGCAGATTTAATAATATTTGCAATTCCACCATAGGAAGTGCCCTTACCAGATAAGTACCTACGGGGAATATTGCAAAACAGGTCATCATTGGGAGCACATTCCCTAAATATAGGATCATCCCCTCACTCTTCTATCCAAGTTTCAGGATTGGTCTATAATACATAGGCAAATTGTAATAAGAAAACAATCAGAGGACACAAAAAAAGAGGATTATGTGGGAACCAGATAAATATAGTCAACAATGGACCAAGTTGGAATATAATCAATATTTAATAACAATAATAACACTTTGAGGGACAATAGGTTGGATTTTTGAGAGTGTAGCACATCATTAAAGTCAATATTGTACCCCATAGAAAAGATTATGCATGTGTGGTTTCGGAAATTAAAGTTTTGTATTGCAATGCTTAAAGTTATAGTTAAAGTTATGTAGTTTAACTAAATTTAATACTCGGGTGCACGTCCCGTTATAATTTCATAAACTTTCAACACTCATACTCATCCTTAATTGACAGGCAAAAATAATTTTACTTTTAGTAGCGCATCTTTACCTGGCGTGTCCAAATATAGCCAGCATTATTATGATCCAGGCAGTTCTATTTTGTACAGCTTGTACTTATTTCAGAAAAAAACTCGAGCCACAATTACCACCAGATTACAATAATTTAAGTAAGGAATAATAATAACATTTTCAATAGTTCTCAATACATCAGTTTGGAAAATGTGTCTTCTTTTGATCATACCTAAATCTTTGAGTGCCTTACCATGTGTATTAGGTTTCAAGGCCTCTAGAAACGTGAACATTATTTATGTTGACAGAACGTTCTCTTTTAATTTTTTCAGAATGTTTGACTTGATCCTACTATGAATTTGATTTTGGGATATTTGGACTTTTTTTCTTTTTTTCCCAGCCAATAATAATGACATTTGTAAATTGGGATCTTTTACAAAGATATCTCGTAAAACATTGTATTGCATAATACTAAGTCCATAGTCGCAATTAAATTTATAAGATTTGGTGAAATGAAGCATACAGAGTCCGACCGTCCGGCCCTCATCGATCACTATACCAATTCTTAGTAATATTGGCAAGTGCTGTTGATGTGTAGCACGATAGACGATTGATTTACATATGTTTAAGTTATTAATATGTAAGTATGACTAAAAATTATCATATACAGCACGTTCTATTATTTAAAAAAAAATATAGGTAATAATACAAACATGACGATAGTAACTTGGGTTTGATTTAACACTATGTTTAAATATGTAAGGTTTTGACAAATGTGACCCAAGATCACTATAGGGCTGTAGACTCGTACTCTATCAAAATGTTTTTTTTTAATGTAAATGAATAGAGCACATCATTAACTTTATAATGAGGGCTCAATGACCTTAATCGGACAGTTATGTGTAAAGTTAAGCAATTTTGAATTATAATTATTATCTATAAACTGCTCTATAAAGTTTTCGAGCAAAAGGGCTTTAAAAGTACTGAAGAAATTGAAAAAAAATCACAGCAGCAGTAAAAAAAACAATTAATAGGAATTAGGTGCATTTTTACATTTGCAGTTAATATGTTATGACATTAAGGTAAAAATGAAATTTTTAACATTATTTTGTAGGCGATATGTTTTTAAATTTGTGGTTAAAACGGTTGACTTGTGTCCAAAATTTGTTACATTATGTGGTTATTTTCAAATATTTTGTGGTTGACATGTTAATGACATTTGCGGAGATTTTGACATTTTTGTGTACAATGTTTTTACAAAGGTGGTTATTTTTCATTTGCTTGGGTTTTTTTTTACTGTTGCGGTCTCATCCATACTCTGGCCCATGGTTGATCTATTCGACTCGGCTCGGCCTAGTCTGGCGAGGCCCAGCATCATAGGGCGAGTTTCAACGCCGGCCGGACCGCTTCCAGTAGGCCGGTCAAAATTTGACATACCCTCTAATCTGGCCCGCGGTCGTTCCGCCCGAGTCGAGCAGCCTAGCTAAACGCGAGGGCATAGAATCATATAAACATCCTAAAATCGGCATCCTACTTACTTCTATTATTCCTAATTTATTTAGCGGAAATATAGATGAAAATGGGTTTGTGTCATAATGATAACATCTTGGACGAGATGTCAATAATATAAAGCGCGATATTGCTATTAAAATTTACTAATGTCACACACATTCCTTTATATGAATTTGGAGCGTCTATAGTCCAATTTTTATATTTCTGTTTAACTTGCTTTATTCTTATACTAGCAGTCATATTACATGCCTGCTTCCAGCTTGTACCTAATAAATCTAAAACTTTATTCAAATTCAACATAAAGAATATACATAATCAAAAACGAAGACAACATCACATGAAGAAAAACGAATCGATAAA